ATCTTCGGTATTTTTATTTCACACTATAAACAAATAGAGAAGTCATTCGGATTTAATAATTTCAAAATGTTTCATACACTAAAGGAACAAAAAGTAAAGAATATTACTCGATAAAGACTACAGTTGATCGATTAAAAAATTAATGTGTTACCCATACAGATTGAGAAGTAAATTAATGAATTGAATTATAATATTTTCTACCGAAATGTTTTTATAAAAACTAATCTGAACCAATTTTTGAAATTGATTGTCTTTACTTTTTTGTGCCTCTAAAATTTTGGCATTTCATAAATTTTGCCGCCCTTCAAATTATGCCGCCCTAGGCCCGGACCTCACGGGCCTAGGCGTAAATCCATCACTGCGTATTGCTATCCTTTTAAGTAGTCATCCTTACCTGAAAAATGGAGGCGTCTGACTTTTACACCACAAAACCATACACTTTTTCCCTTTGTTGCAAGAACCCGATAACGATTAGCTAGATATCTACCAGAAGCAGGTACTTAATGGTTATGAAGCTTGTTTTAACACAAAAAGAACAAAGCACTAATCAAAAAGCAGCAATCAAATATAAATTCAAATTAAAAACTATAACTATAAAAGACAGATACTCTAAAAACGCGATCAGAACCAAACAAAACAAATAACCGTAATATCCTTAAAATCACACTCAAAATTGCAAAAATTAGTACTGTAAAATCATAAGATTACATCAATAATGCGTATGTGTCGGATTATCGCAAATGTCAAAAGCACAGTCTTTTCATGAAAATTTAGCTATGTTTTTAGCAGCATTAGAGGACCATTTCTACCACGCGTACCCAACGATATTGGCATTCCATTTAAATATACAGTTCACTGTATTTTCCTCACACTTCTAGTATAAATGATTTGACATACACAACTAACAATTATTATAATTAATTTACAGTAGGCTTTTGTCAAAACTGTATAGAAATTCTAAAACTAAACAGTAATAAGTGTTTCGTGAATCCTAAATAGAATAATTATTATACAGGGTGTTATTGAAATACACGTACATATTAAAATGGGGAATAGTATGTAATGACCAAAAACGATTGGCACCAATTTTAACTTCAAATTCTAAAATTTAAATATTGGGGAAGAGTCCCCTTTTCCGACCTACTAGTTTCCATATTTAAAGAAGTAAAATAAATCGAAATTGAACTTACCCATAGAAATTGCACTGTTGCCGTAGCAAAACCAATTAATTCAAAATAAAGTTTATTACAGTAATTGTTCAAAATGCCGTCCATTATTATTTACACACACTTGCAATCGTCTTTCCAAAGAACTTTGAACATTAGAAATTAGTCTTGGATTTTGTCGTAGTTCCTCGGCTACCGCATTAACTTTATTGGTTAATTGTTCAACACTATTAATAGGTTCATTATAAACCAGTTGTTTCATGTGACCCCACAAAAAGAAATCGCATGGATTTAAGTCCGGAGATCTCGGAGGCCACTTAGTAGGTCCATTTCTGCCTATCCACTTTTGAGGAAATCTAATGTTCAAAAACTGCCGTACGTTTAAATCAAAGTGAGGAGGAGCGCCATCTAGTAGGTACCACATCCGTTGCCTTAATTGTAACGGTATCTCTTTTAGGAGTACTGGCAAAATATCTTCTAAAAAGTGGAGATATCCTGGCCCATTTAATCTGTTCGGGAGAACATAAGGCCCGATTAAATACTGATCTATTATGCCAGCCCAAACATTTATTGAAAATTTTCTTTGATGCCCAGTTTCCCTAATGGCGTGAGGATTTTCATCACTCCAAATATGCGTATTGTGCATATTGAACACGCCATCACGAGTGAATGAAGCCTTGTCAGTATACAATAATATTTTTAGAAAATCAGGAATATCAACACATTTTTGAATCATCCATTCACAAAACTCCACTCTCTTTTCTTCATCACCTGGATATAAGGCCTGGACTTTTTGGATGTGATAGGGATGTAAACCTTGTTCTTTAAGTGTCCGCCACACAACAAATGAGGACACTCCAATTTCAAGACCTAGTCTTCTACAACTTAATTGAGGCCGGTTTTCAACAGCTTCCAATATTTCTTCTTCGGCCGCCAATGTTCTTTGTGTTCTTGTTCTCCCTCGATCTGCATTGACACTCAAATTTTCCATGGTCTCTTAGATGCTGAACAGTTGAAATAAACGTACGACAGTCCGGAATTCTCCGAATTGGAAACCGTTCGCGATACAGGATTTGTGCTTGCCGAGAATTTTCTCCAGCTGCCCCATAAACCAGCACTATATCCGTTAGTTCAATATTCGTAAATAGTGGCATCGTAAAAAAATATTTAAAAGTAATCGTAACAACACTTTTTACCAACTTGGAAATGACGCGCTCGTGTTAGCCAGATTCGTAAATCAACTAAAATTTTAATAATCTATAGTTTCAAAAATGTATAGTTTAAAAACAATCATTTATCAAATATTCTAGTTTTTTGATAACGAGGGTGGTAAAAACCAGTCTTCGGAAATAGAAATTAATTCGAAAATCTTGGCAACATGGTTATTTCTTACAAGACTAGTTTTCTTATCATCTGACAAAAACTTGCATATTAATTACTGTTGATGTTTAAAATAGGTAAATAAACCTAATTTATATAGGTCATCCTCAACATATCAGTGAAGTACGTTTGTTTTAGAATTAATTTTCAAAAATTAATAACTCCCTTAATAAGGGGTATTTTTAAAAAATAATATTTTTCTACATTCAGTGGGGATCTGCGCAATACCCAGTTTTAATATGTACGTGTATTTCAATAACACCCTGTATAAAAGAGTAAAAGGAAATGTAATTTATCTACCTATTTTCTTTTGTAATTTCTTTAATTTTGTTTTATTTCTATAAATAAACCAACTGGTGAGGTGCTACATTGTGATATATGGTTTTATTTCTGTGTCCTATGCGTACACTTTAATATACAAAACACCTGGAACATTCTTTAAATAATTGTGGTCGTAGGAAAAATTGTGTACATAACTCGTTGGAAAGTGTATTTTATACATTTGAAAACTATATTATCCATACTCACAGATTAATTAGACTATTTTTTTACTTAATTTCAGTATACCTCTTACTAATAGAACTATTTTTATCGCTGGTAAAATGGGGCCGTGTTTTCGTATGTTTTGACACATTTTCGGCCTCAACCCATCGCCCCCCCCCCCCTCTAAATATATATAAATTTTTCTTAAAATTGTTAACCCTACAATTCTCTACCCATGCTTGCTGACTGGGAAAATAAATACCGAAAATCACTGTCTCCTGGACTATACAGTTAGTAGATGATGATGATGATGATGAGGCGCTGACAGAAATGTTTTACGAATATAATCGCTCCTTTCACTCCGAGTTAGAGATGACATGATGGCTTCACAACAAATACACTTTTATCAATGGCTAGTTGGGGATGTGCGCATTTAATTACCTTGTGCAACCATAGGAAACAAATAAAAATTAATAAAATGCCCAGTATGCAAAAACTGATAAATATATAAAAATTGAGACAAATATCATTGAAAAGAGACCAAAATTTCCTATAATATAAAGTATTTTGAAGATCAATTTAGACAGATATCTTGTTTTAAATTATGGGAAAGCCAAAAAATAAACGACAATGTAGTAAAATGCTCAGTATACAAAAACGAATAAAAATAAAAAAATGAGACAAGTACCATTCAAAAAAGACGAACATTTTCTATAATACAAAGTATTTTAAAGATCAATTTAGATAGACATCTATTTTTAATTTAAGGTAGAGACTTCTGTATCTGTAACGTGTGGAGGGTGGGTTACCCCACGGCACTTAGGCCACATTAGGCCCATTGTGCATTCTCCTGAGAAGATAGGCACCTCCTCGCTCGTAAGCCAGCCTACAGATTTAATGTAGTTGACTACGTCGCCAAGAGGTGCTTCTCCTATATCGACCGGTGTTAGCCGATACTCGCCAAACACTCTTCTAATAAATGAGAGCGTCGAGCAATCGTAAAGGATATGCTCGATGGTCTCATCTTCTTGTTCGCACCCTTTGCAGAGTGCGGATTCTGACAGCCCCATGATATGTAGATACTTTCGTACTTGGCAATGATCAATCAGAATGCCTGTGACTAAGCGCAGATTCTGTCTAGTCATAGTCAGGTATTTGTTTGCTGCAGTGTTGTCAGGATAACTTAGCAGCTCCCTGGCAACTCTGCAGTTTCTTGTTTCATCCCATCTTTCCTTGAATTTCACAAGGGAATGTTCTTTGATTAGGTCTGTCACTGCCGAATTTGTCAGGCCAATAGAAGTGCCAGGTCCAAAAAGTATTTGGTTGGCTGCTTTCTTGGCTAGTGAATCAGCAAGACGGTTACCTTTCGATGTGGCGTGACCTTTTCGCAGACTGTCTTCCAGGAATATTTTCGAACACTCCTCCCCTTCGTAAACCTTCGGCCAATACAGTGCATTTAAGTTTACGATTCGATGTTTTCATTGGTTAACAACGGAGATGATGGATTTTGACACATATATATATATCAAGTATACGTTGACTGACCGTTCCTTTAATATTTACCGCATTGTATAAGGGAAGTAAACATTATTTTTCGTTTCTAAATTTGGCATGAGTACCGTGCGTATATATTAAATATTGATATATATATATATATATATATATATATATATATATATATATAAATATATTAAATATTGATGACATAACTGTGTTCTGCAATTGATATTGGAAGGACTATACCTTTCTAGGTTCTATTTGTGATGATCTTCTACTTGGCCCTAATCAGTTTGATTTAGATATTTTGTTTTATGTTCTGAAGATTCCTCTAGGGCCGACATTGGTAGTTTGCGTTGACTTTTAATTTATTTAATACATTTCTGTGCGCTACTGAATTTAAGAATTTTATTATCATTCAATTAAAAAATATGCATTTATACAAATATACTTATACTCTTTTTTTTGTTACAGGTAGTGGGAGTCCAACAATATACGATACGACCGCAAGTAGCCGATATTAACGAAAATATATTGTCGACGGAAGTGACGTCAGAGTCGGTATTGACAGATGACATTATCAAGACGACAGGTAGACAACTCGAAGATGTTCTCACTGAATTCGACGTTTATTGTAGTAATTTACACATTGGTAAGTGAGCATTTTCAATAATAAACGTAATTAATGAAATGAAAGGTATTTTTAAGAATGTCGGGTTGGAGAATGTGTAAATATGTTTCCAGATTAATTCATAATCTGTGGGAGAATCGGTTTTAAAGTTTCGAAATTAAATTCCCAGGAAATTCTTAAACCAATCCCAATGATCCCAATGTTACCCCTACGAAATAATAAAAATATTTTTGAACTCCCAAGGAGAAGAAAAATTTAATGAAAAATTTAACAAATTTACCCACAGGGGATTTGAACCCACCTACTCCTGTACTACGCACAGCCGCTCTTCCAATTAAGCTATCGCTGACATATTCAGAGATTTGCCCTAAAAATCTAAACCGTGCTTTTTGCTATGAATACAGAAAAAATATACCGACATCCAGTTAACTGGACAGTGGTTAAAAGATGTCAATGTGACAGATATCTTCCAAATATATCCAAACTAAGGCTATATATTATAATTTTATTATAAAAGTTAATGTTGGGTTCTGGAAAGAGACGGCTCTGACCCAGTGGGCACTGAACGTGTTAAAAATATTTTAAGCTTCTAAATAGCCTTTTATTTCTGCTAACGTCTCATGCAGTACACATAGAAACTTAAATTTTTCTTCTGGTTTGGAGTCAGTCACCTCTATTAGTTAAAATAATAATTATGTTGACATCATCTCGAATTTGCAGCATATTAATTTGATTTTAATAAAGCCATTTTCTTGCATATATCATTTGACAACACATCTTTGAATTTAATTGTTAGGTTATATTAGTTTAAAACAAACGATTTGGAATTTTAAATAATTTAATGTTAATCACTTATTTTCTTACCAGATAACTATCCAAACTCGAACTCGTGGACCGTTCTTAACCTATTTCTTCTTTTTTTTTTCGAGTCTGGCCTGAATGGCCTTTTACTTTGTATCTTGTGAGCTTAGTAGCGAAGAAATAATTGATCTATTTTAATTAAAACCTAGTTATAAATAATTAAATTATGCCAGTAGAATTATAATATTATAAATTATGTAAAAAATTATTTATATATTATATTATATATTATAAGACAAACACACTTTTAAGTTAATAATATATTATGTTAATATAATTCTGCAAAATGTCTAGCAAAATCATGATTTCTGAATGGGTATATCCATTGAAATAACGGAAAATGAATATCCAGTGCACATCCATGTGAAGTTCATGGACATCCAGGACATTATTTGGACAAAATATGGATGTCCAACGGTTGTTCACAACTATCACAAATATTTATAAAGAGTGATCCCCAAAAAAATGACCGACGAAAAACTGATATTAAAAAAAAGGAATAAAAATTGTACACTCCAACATACGTGAATTTTTCCAAGATCTACTATAGAAATATGTTTTTGTGGATCATTCTATATTAGCCACGTTTCCACCTGATCCTTCAAAAATCATTAATTTTGATTTACTATTCTCATAATTTGATCTACATGAATTCAGAAATAAGCATTTCCTTGCTTCCATATTACATCCTATGAAGAAGCTTCCATCCTTGAAACACACAATCATTCATAAATAAGACAACAAAATTATTTCACTTTACTTGGTATTCGTCAAATCATCTCGTTTAAGTGCATCGTTGTCTTATTTTATCTCAAAAATCATTTAAATAGGTAAGTTGCTTGAAGAAATGTTGCTGATGTTGGGAATAGCAAAAAAAGAGATAATTCTCCTATGCCTCTTCTACCACAATTTACAATCATGCAAGTCATTGGCATGTTTGAAATACTTCACTAAAACATATCAAACATAATTCTGTTTTTTTTTATAACCTTATTTCTAGTACTCCGATTTCAATGTCTTCATATTATTATAAAACCAGCAACTGTAAATAACATGTAACACTAAAGATAAAACTATTATCAAAATCACAAATTTGTTGTTTTTTAAAATTTTATCATAAAAAGAAACTATTTCTTGATAATCTAAACAAACTTTATCTACAACCACCCATAGCTCTCAGTAAGTCTATGGGTATGCTGTAAATTTAATAAACTGACCCCCTTCTAGCCGCCATGCCAAGTGGATTATGTTTTGGCTACAGTGATTTTTAGTTTTTGTGTTCTGTAATAGGTGAACTTTGACAAACCTTTTTGGCTGGTCAATTTTTTCGTTCTTGAAATACTATTCGCACACATCCCAATGAAAATTATATAATTTAATTCAAGAAAAAAATAAGTAGATCGAGCAATAAAGAAAAATAACACGAAACAAAACTCCATATTTTTTATTAATTTTTTTAATTATTTTCAATCTGAGAATCTCATCGACAGCTGATGATACCATTCTTGAACTTGGTTAGGTATATGAATTGCGGGTACCTACAACCTTTTTTTTCTTTTGCCAACAACGACGTTGTCGTTTTGATCATTGGTTATCGTTCACGTTCACAACGATGTCCGACAAATATTTGTAAAAAGTTTCACATGAAAAGTTACTACATCCTTATATCTTCTACAGTAACCTTACGTCGATCCTGTCTTGTCAGCAGTACCACCTTCAAACTCAGTTATCATGGCGCCCAGCATGTAGGGGGTCAAAATTTGTTTTCGATGCTGTATCTAGGCTTTCTCAGAGCCATGCAACCACCACAGTAAATGACCTATTATGTATCGTTTTGTAAAGTAAATACCTACATCATTACAAATACTGTTACGTAAATATTACATAACAGTTGTAAGAGGCCAGTTCGCAGGTACAATATCGGAGCGCACACAAATCGCTCTAAACATTGTTGACGAGTGGTGCAGAGAGGAGGAACTAACGGTTAACCCTCACAAAACCACAATAGTCAACTTTACAAAACGAAAAGTACCAACAGGACTAAAGTCACCAGTACTGAAAGGAGTGAAGATTCCATTTGCTCAAGAGGCCAAATACTTGGGAGTCATCTTTGACTACAGGTTAACATGGAATCACCCAAAAGAGCACAAGATCCTTCAACTTATGTCGAAGGTTGTGTGGAAAAAATTGGGGACTACAACCATCATAAGGCCGATGATAATCTACGGATCGGTGGTATGGTGGCCAAAGACTCGGCAAGCTGGAGCCATTCGACAGCTCAATGGTATTCAAAGGCAAGCATGTCTGAGTACCACGGGAGTTATGAGAACGACTCCAACAGCAGCTATAGAAGTCATGCTAAATGTAACACCACTACATATATTCAAGGCGAAGCCAGGTCTGTCACATACAGACTGCACAAAGGTTCATCAACCATAAGCAGTTTGTATGGACGTGACTACAGCGAGCTATATAAAGAGTTGGAGAACGACCAAATAATGGGAATCCCTTCAGATGAAATGCCCCCAAAGTATAGCTTTCAAAAGCAATATAAAGTAAGTATACCAGACAGGGAAGCATGGACGGGAGGACCTCCTATTCATGCAGAATTCACTTAGTAAACAGACGGCTCCAAAACCCATGAAAGTTCAGGAGTAGGTATATATAGTACCAAGCCAAAGACAAGAATCTCACTGAGCTTAGTTAAACATGCGACAGTATTCCAGACAGAAATAGCAGCAATACATCACTGCGCAAAAGAGGTATTAAGACAGAAGGTTAATGGAAAAACCATTGTCATATACTCAGACAGTCAAGCGACGTTAAAGGCACTCAGTTCCATGCAGGTACACTCAAAGCTTGTGTTTGACTGTTTGAAAGCCCTAACAGAGCTGGTTAGTCAAAACAGACTAACCTTAGCCTGGGTACCAGGCCACAGAGGACATAAGGACAATGAATAGGCTGATTTACTAGCCCGAAAAGGAGCTTCAAAGGCTCTTATTGACCCAGAACCCTTCTGTGGTGTAACAAAAACAACTATCAGAACATGCACAAAGCAGTAGATGTTTAAAAAATCTCAGGAGTGGTAAAAAAACTCTCCAGGATAGATACAGGCCAAAGAGTTCATAAAAGGGCCATCGACTAAACTCACCGAGCATCTACTAAGCCTTAATAGGAAAAATACTAGAGTACTAGTAGGTCTATTGACACGGCATTGTAGGCTTAACAAACATATGTATAATATCGGTCTGACAGAAGAGACCTTGTGCCGATTCTGTTAGGAAGAGGAGGAAACGGCAGTACACGTATTTATGCTACTGGGAAGGTCTAGCAAGACTGAGATTCCTTACACTTGGAGAAGAAAAACCAAGGGCAACTAGCTATACCGGAGAATTACTTCCCAGTCTATGGAGTCTACTACAAAAGACCGAATTAGACAAGTTACTCTAGATAACGATTCAAGGATATCCACAATAGATCTGAAAAGGTCGAGGTGGGGAAGGCCACATGGCCCACAGTCCTAATTAAATCTAATCTAATCTACATAACAATTTCATTTATTAAACTATCCATATTTCTACGTTGCTAGGTGATCGCTATGGTTACGATAAATAGTTTTGAAATTTCAGAAATAGAAAATCGCCATTTTTGTAGTTACAAAATTATAGTTTTTATAAATAAAATGAATTTCAAGGAAGTCCTCTTCATATTTTTGAAAAAGCTGTTAATACTACTAACAAGTTACTGCCCTGAAAAGGGCAAGGTATGAAATAGTATACCAAAAGTTTATGGAATGACGTATAAAAAACAGTGTAAACTCATTTTCTGTGAATGTGCTTTTGGCATATTTTGGGGAATTTTTAGAACAATTCAAACCTTCATCATTAGTCAAGTATCGTCATTTCCATAAAAAAGTGGATATTGAAATGTATCTAAAATTAAAAGCATACCCCAAAAGGCAATCAGATGGTTTTTAAACAAAAATTTGTTTGATGAAATGAGTAAATATTTAAATGAAGCACTTGATTTACAATACTTATTAACAAAGCTTTGTATCTCAAAACAATTTTTCTTCAATTAATTTAATATTTGCATTTGAAATTTACTATATTTTTAATTAAATGTATTCAATAAATGTTATAGATTATGAAAAAGCCTTCTCGTTATTATGAATGTATGATTGTGGTTGTAGATAAAGTATATAGTAAACTAACAGTTACATGCTCGTAGAATTACAGCTGATTTACGCGGTTCGTGCGCAACTTTCCTACTCGTAAGCAGGTCCCCGACGAGAGGGGCAGGGGGGGGACAAATTCCCGGGGCTGAGAATACTTTATTTTTTTAGAAGGTGAAGACGTTTTTTGAGTTATGTCACCAAGAGAAATTATGTGATTTTTCTTCAGAGCCTTTTTTTTTCTTTTTTTACTTTCCTATCTGTATACAGATAGAAGGAAAGTATAGGAATCATGATTTTTTTCGACCTCGAGTTTTCGACGGATTTTTACGTTTTGAGGTCCCCTGAATCCGTTTTGACTATTTTCGCGATGATGTGTGTGTGTGTGTCTGTGTGTCGCATAACTCATGAACCGATACACAGAAAAACACCAAATTTCAAACTTAAAATTTGTTCTAGCGTCCAATGTGATGATTAGATTTTGGGCAGTGTCGGAACATCTGGGGGGTACTTTATAGGTGGTCATTTTTATATTTTATGAAATATATCTGTTATTTACGTTTGGGGAAGAAAATTCTTCAAATAAAAGTTACTTCTTATATTATTATCTAAAATTTTTGTTCTATACAAAATTTTCCTAAAACGGTCCGTATTCGAGAAATTTGACAAAATGTAAAAAAATATCTTTTTATAAAAATTGTTCAAACAAAAGTTGTTTGTAATAAAATTCTCTATAATTTTTATCCTATACATAATTTCTTTAAAATGGACCGTATTAGAGATATTTGAGAAAATGTGTAAATTTCGAAATTTGAAGAAAACTCAAAAACGGATAAAGAAAAAACATTAAATTTTAAACTTAAGTTTTATTTCGGCCTGACGTGAAATGATTAGATTTTGGACAAAGTCGGAACATCTGGGGGGGGGGGGTACTTTATGGGGGGCCGTTTTTATATTTTATGGAATATATCTGTTAATTATGTTTGGAGAAAAAAATTGTTCAAATAAAAGTTATTTCTAATATTATTATCTATAATTTTTGCTTTATGTCAAAATTTCCAGAAATGGTCCGTATTCGAGAAATTTGACAAAATGTGGAAAATTCTGATTTTTATTAAAATTGTTGAAATAAAAGTTGTTTGCGATATCGATCTCTATAATTTTTGTTTATACATGATTTTTCTAAAATGGACCGTAATGGAAAAATTGTAGGAAAAGTGCTAAATTAAAATTTTTCAGTATTTTCTTTTTCAATGAACATCTATAGAAAAATGTTTCAAGGTAGATGTATGTGGAAAATGTAAATATTTATTTTATCCTCTAAACATTTATGGAGGTGCTGCAATAGGTTGTACAAAATAACCGGAAAAAGCCTGTAATAACTAGATAGGAAAGTCATGTGTTGGACACATCAGATTTTTTTCTTTTTCTTTTTTCTTCTTTTTTTTTTTTTCTTTTTCTTTTCCTTTTTTCTTTTTTTTTTTCTTTTTTTTTTCTTTTTTTTTTTCTTTTTTTCTTTTTTTCTTTTTTTTCTTTTTTTTTCTTTTTTTTTCTTTTATTTTCCCATTTTTTTCTTTTTTTATTTTCCGTTTTTTTCTTTTTTTTCTATTTTTTTCCATTTTTTTCTTTTCTTTTTCTTTTTTTTTTTAGAAATGTAACATAAAGGACTTGATTTTTTATAAAAAAAATGCTCCGGGGCACGATGGTCTTCGGCGGCCCTGCTCGCAAGTAATTAACTTCTTACTGTTCTTGTTATGTAATAAACTATTGTATGTCTATCGACAGCCATATTGAATTTTTTAGCGGAACCACAGTAGAATGTTTTTTTTTATTATTATTATTTGGTGTTATGACTTTGGTTTAATAAGGCATATTATGTGTAGCCTTTGTTATTATTTCCCAGCTCCACAGCACTGTTAATAATTAGAACCCAACGGTGAATATTCGAGTGGAGAATCCTACCTATGCATTAATTAATGTCTAATTGCATAATATTGACAGTTAGCATTTAAATTATTACATCGTTTGTTTTTGTTTGTTTCAGATCCTCACAATTCGGGATTTAGGCTAGTGACAGACGGACAGCTGCCGTTAAGGCAGTGTCTGCACCCGGAAGCCTGTAGAAAAGACCTAGATCTGCCAACGTATTATAGCATTTTCCATGACCTTAGGAAGGAAGTAGCCAAATTTACGGCGAAAGGGGAAGAACCTCCCCAATCGATCGCCACTATGTTAGAACGTATCCTTTTTCAATCTAATTTATATAATTTTTTTTATAACTATGCGCGTTATATTCTAAAATTATCTATGATGATGATTTAAGGAGTCTTCAACAACTGGTATAACATCAGTTTGGTACATATTGTTTTGGGATCATTTGTCCCAGTTTTATTTCGAGTCCTTTATGCCAGATTTTATCAAACGCCTGCGCAATGACGGGAAACAAAGTAGAACAGATTCATTTTTTTTCATAAACTTGAAAATTATTTAGAATTAAAAAAAAGATATATTTTTATTTCACATTTATTTACTCAGTACGGTTCTGTTAAACAACTATACAGGGTGATTCCTAGGATACTTCTTTCTTAAACTGTGTATAAAATTTTACAAAAAAAAACTTAAAAATAAAAAGTTAACAAGAAATAAACAAAAAAAATATCGCCATGATTTAGATCTGCTGACCTCGGTAGATATGCTAGAAAATTGCATATTTAAAAACTCCAAATACGAGGCATTTCATGCGAGATTTTTTAGACAGTACTAGTTAATAGGCAAAGAAGATATAAATCAAGGATTTGGAGCCACCCTCTCTATATTTTTTTACTTGTTATAAAGAAACTGTAATTCTTAAAAAAAAACAATGAATAATTCTAATGCTAGGAATATCACCCTATATAAAATTTTTTCTAATGTAGATACTTAGGATTGATAAATATATTTATTTTTATCTAATCAATAGTTTCTTGAAATTCGCTGGTTTTTCTATATAAATAACCTGAAATTGATTCATTTCTAATTTGTTTACATAATTTCTTATCACTCTTTACTTCTAGTAATCTTATAGATTCCTTTTTAAATATTTTACGTTCTAGCAATAAATAGAGTATAACTACGTTAAAGTGTTTGCGCGGTGTTGCCAAATGTGAAATCAAGAGTCGGTGTAGGGAAAATACGAGAATAAAATTGGTTAAAATAGTATAATTTTCATTTGTCCTGTAATTTATTGCCCTCAGAGATATGTGCGCGCCATTTTGATGCGTCATAATTGTCATGATATGAACGTTACCGTTATTTACAACTTAACCTTAAAATTTAGTTATGCTTAATTATGTGAGTACATAATAAACCCTTTAGGTCCTTCTTCCACTTGTCAAAAGGCACTCCGGGAATTTTTATGGAACCCGGGCGATCCTATCTCTACATTTCGGTCTACAAGGGCTTTTAATTTTTTTTATGCACGACCAGCCGATAAAGTCCAGATTATCAATACGTTTAGCGGGCGTAAAGTGTCCTTTTATCGCCCTCGGACTTCTTTATCGCCCGCGGACTTCTTTATCGCCCGCTGACTTCTTTATCGTCCGCAAAATAAATTTCTTTTATAATAACCTGCTCACAAAAGGCGAAAAAGAGATCATTAAAACAGTCGTACATAAAATTTTATACAGGGTGTTCCATTAGTGCGTAATTTATTATTTCAATTTGTGTTATAGACACGCAAAAAAGTTTCAAGTAAAAGTGGTATAGATTTGAAAAATTCGTGTTATAAAAATATTTTTGGATATACAGGGTGTTGCGTTTTTGCCTGGCAAATAAAAATGTATGATTTTTAAATAAAACACCGTGTATTTTATTTTATTTTTAGAATGGTTCGGCAATACTGTACCATAAAAAGTTTTTAAATAATATTACAGTGTTGCCAAGCATTTTTTTTGAAATTAGAGAATGATGCTGACCCCAAATTAAATTATCATAATTTAGATAGGTTTTCATTGATTTCAAAATTGTGTAATTCACAAACTTACAAGATAATGAGCTAACGAATAGTGGTGATAAAACTAGTTTATTTTATACAGAGTGTTTTGAAACATGGCTAATTTTAAGTTCAATTTGCTCAATTTTTCAAATGCAACACCCTGTATATTGTTTTAGCATAAAATTCCTTATTCATTTTCCTATACAACGATACCAATAAGTTAGCCAATAACATATATACAGGGTGTCCCGTCAATGTGTAATTGGTCGATAGCTGTTATAGTTATTATTAGAAATATGAAGAAATTTTTAATATAAAAGTTGTATGACCATATTTAACAATTTATCTTAAATATACAGGGTGGTCCTTAAACGAGGTGCTAACCAAATCTACACTTTTTTAAAGCAAAACATCATGCAGGTAGTTATACATATTTGATTGTTTTCACATCCTCAAACAATTTTAATTGTATATAGAGTGTGTCAAAACGGGAGGTTACGATTTTCTCAATTTTTTAAATGGAATACCCTGTATTAATTAATTGGTGGTATAACATATTAGGTATTCCATTTAAAATTTAAAAAAGCATTATCCCGCATTTTGACACACCCTATAAACAAAATAGCACAAAAATAAAGTCTATTAAAATTGTTTAACGATGTGAAAACAATCAAATAATCAAATATGTATAACTACCTACAGGTTGTTCTGCTTTAAAAATGTATAACTTTGGCCAGCCTCTTGTTTATGGGCCATCCTGTTTATTTAAGAATATTTATTAAACATGGTCATACAAATTTTCTATTATATATTTTTTTTTCGTATTTCCAATAATAAAACAGCTATCGATCTATTACGCGCTGATGGGACACCCTGTATATGTGTTATTGACTAACATATTGGTATCGTTGGATAGGTAAATTTATAAGGAATTTTTTGCTTAAATAATATATAGTTTGTTGGATTTAAAAAAAAAAATGAGTAAATTTAACTTAAATTTAGTTATATCTAAGACATGCATAAAATAAACGAGTTAAAACATTTTAGGGTTAAATACAGTATTATCAAGCAATTCTAAATATAAAACAAAAACAAGGTGTTCTATTTAAAAAACATAAATTTTTATTTGCCAGGCAAAAACGCAATATCCTGTATATCCAAAAATATTTTTGGAATATGTATCTTTCAAATCCATATAACTTTTATTTAAAACTTTTTTACGTGTCTATAACACAAATTGAAATATTGAACAATTACGCACTAACGGGACACCCTGTATATTTGTTAATAAATTATCATTACGAGGGTCGTGCATAAAATGTATGTATTTCGGGCGTAAACAGCGCTTATTGACCTTACGTGTTTATAGCCCTCGCCTAGCGGCTCGGGCCATTACTTACACGTTGCAGCCATAAACGCCAGTTTTACGCCCTTGATACGTAAATAACTATTAGCACAGTGTGAGTGATAAGTTCTTAGGGCATTTCATCAAACTGTGTCTGGTAACAGCCGCTACCTTGGATGTATACCGTGCAACCAACCCCATCCCCGTTGGATGATTAAAGTCATTTTGTTCGCTACTATTTGGTGACAACCAGGTTATCTTCCTAAGTGGCAGTGGTTGCTACAACCTAAGGGGGTTGCGACTTATAGACCCAGTAAATTGATGAAGGGATCACTTGGGCTAGGGGAAACAGTAGTCAGCTTGAGCTGGCGACACTTTTCTGATGTTCGTTTGCTGAAAACCACAATGATGGCTTGTCTGCAATAATTATACGAGGATAGATTGAAAAGTTGCTGGCTAAACCTACAAAATGAAAAAATATTTGGATAACTTATGTTTTATTTTTCTTCGTAATCTCCCTCTCCAGTAACGCTTCTATACCATTTCTAAAAAATGATTCTTCGAGTTCTGCAAAATACCCCTGTACAGTACTTATCGCGTCTTCATCCGAAGAAAATCTCTTACCCCACCCCCCCCCCCCAAAAGGTTTTCAGGTTTCTAAACAGGTGAAAGTCCGAGGAGCCAGATCAGGCGAATAGGGTGGGTGCGACAACAGTTCGAACCCATATGAATGAGTTTCAGCCATGGATGCAAGAGATGTGTGATGAAACGACACCTTTCTTCGCAGCAATCCGGACCTTTTAATTTTAATGTCTTCGCGTTGATAGTCTTTCCCTTTTCCAAGAAATCAATCAAGATTATACCCTTAGCATGCCAAAAAATTGATGCCATAACCTTGTTTGCCGATAACACTTGTTTGGCTTTCTTCGGGGTAGGAGATCCAGATCTTTTCGATTGCTTTGATTGTTGTTTTAATTCCGGTGTATGCTGGTGTACCTATGTCTCGTCCATAGTCACAAATCTGTCAATGAACCCCTCCGGATCATTTTCAAACAGTTCCAAACAATCACGAGAAAGAGTGAGTCGAGTGCGTTTATGTTCAACTGAAAGCAATTTGGGTACCCATCTTGCGGACACCTTAGAAAACCCTAATTCGTTCGCGATAATGTTTTGTGCCCTCATAGGAACTACCCAGAGTCTTATAGCTATCACACGGCTTTTGATTCAGATCATACATTTTACTGATATTTTCTGTTGTGGTCGATGTTGAAGGTCTGCCACTGTAGGGGTCATCTTCAATGCTGTTTCTGTCACGCTTAACTTCAGTTACCTACTTTTTCACAGTGGAATACGAGGGAGTCTCCAAGCGTCTCTACCATGTCAGTATGAATTTGCTGTGGTGTTAAGCCCTTTTTATGCAAGTACTTAACGACAGCACGATGCTCTATTTTCTCTATGTCAAAAATGTTCGTAACTTCCGAAAACTTAACGCCTCATAAACTCCTCACCTTAAACAATAGAGAAATGAAATTTTACAAAGTGACTACCAAAGGACATAGCTATGCAACTAATGTATACAAAATTATTTTTTTTTCTCTCCTGGGCTCGTCTGACTATGTGTCTCCGAATAACACTGAAGCCTATTGTATTATTGTGTTTTACCCCATGTTAGTTCATAGCACCCACTCTATCACCTTGGGTGAGTGAGTTCTATACGTTGTTGGATCAACCTGGGGTTGTCCAAAAAGAGCTTCGCATTCGCACAGTATGTGTTTGGCCGTTTCTGGTTTCTTGTGACATAGTCGGCACATGAGTTCCCCATTGTACATGCCAATTTTGTTCAAGTGTCCCTTTACTGGGGCGTGCCCAGTCATGAACCCTGTTATCACTTTCAACTGGTTCCTATTCATTAAGAGTAGTT